ATGTTAGAATATTTTCTTCCTTTACAAGTGGTAATATATCATGCCCAGGAACTGGGCTGATAATTGAAAGAGCTAATAATAGAAACTGATATCTTAGGTTGTTCTGCACCCTGTTGGATCAGATTATGGAGTTCACTGTGTTTGTGTTTCAGTGTCCTTTAGTTAAATAACAGCATACTTCCCTTTAAAGGTTGTTCTGTCCTAAAGAGGGAAGAGAACCACAAAGCAATGATTTTTCTCTTCACAGGCTTTCATCCGACCATTCAGGGAGCACCACATCGATCCAACCGCCATCACTCGGCACGACTTCATTGAAACCAACGGCGACAACTGTATGATCCCCATCCTGCCCCTAGCTCACATGGCCTACAAGTTCCTCACATACACACCAGGTACATGCTGCGCCTGTAGGTTTGTCTACAGGCCTGTTGTCACTTTTCACCTGGAATTCTGAGGATTGTTTTCAGTTGAATTTCATGACATTCAAAAGTGATTCTAAGGACTGAAGAAGGTCAGATTCTCTCCAGCGACCTGCAGCAGAATCTCAGGGTTAGAAAGACCAACGTACAGGAAGTTGTTTTCAGACCTGTGGCAGTTCTGGTAATCGTGTGCTCTGACCCTGAGAGCAGAAAGGGAGGGACTGGAGGAGGAGGAGGAGCAGCAGGAAGAGCTGGCAGAGCGCTTATGAGGAGGTGACATCTCCACCTGTCATGTCTGCACTTCAGCTGAAGCATAAAGGTCACTAATGGGAGGAGAACAGGGGAGGTGACACCAGTTATTCGGGTTAAAGGCTGCATTACGTACGGCGCTGTGGGGTTAAGCTGCTCCAAACCTCTGGAACCAAGTTTCTCAGATATAAATCATGTCAGCGAAGGGGGGCGGAAACACCACTTACACCAGAGCTGAGCATTTATTGGATTATTTACCTTCAGAGGTTAAGATTTGATCTAATTAGAAAGCAAATATTACAAGGTAATTTAACTAAATTTCAAACTTGGGTTTGATTATGTCTTAGTATTAATCTGTAATGTCTTGTTTTAATTATAGCTATAAGTGTAATAATTCTGAGTGAGTTTATCATTAATTAAATATTTTTCAATGTGAATGAAGTTAACTTAGACACAGCAAGGTTTGTGATGCTACATTTTGGCCTAGCACAAAATAAAATGTTCCATTTATAATGGAATAAATAAAATTCTCCTATTTACAGGATGAATAATAATTATTTTGTGGTTCAGTTTGTGGTTGCACTGTTTCTTTGCAGTAAGAAGGTCCTGAGTTTGACCCCCTGTCCCTATTCGTTTGTATGTTCTCTCTGTGCATGCACAGGTTCACTGAGGGCTCTCTGGCCTCCCCCCACAGGGAAAAAAACGTGGCTGTTTGGTTGATTGGTCTCTCTAAACAGTCCCTCGTTATTAGTGTGTGTGCATTATTTGCCCTGTGATGGACCTACAACCTGTCTAGATAGTTGCCTGTCCTTCAGCAGAAGACCATGTCTCCTTGTGACATTGCAAGAACCAGAGGGCATCAATGATGGTTGGCTTTTTACTTTGGTCTAGGTACTCTGAATGTTGAATTTTTTGGGGGAAGCCAACTACCTCAGTATCTCAAGTTGAAATCTTTACCTGGTATTTATTTGACTGTTTTAGTTTGTGTATTTAAGGTAAATTTAGTTAATTTGAAAACATGCTAAAACTACCGGGAACAGAGATGGTTAATTCATGTTTTTAATTATTTCTGGGGTTATTTGGTGAGATTTTTGGGATTATTGATTGAATTCAATTCAGTTTACTTATATAGCACCAATTCACAACACATTTCATCTTAAGGCACCTTTTCAACCATATCACACGGTCAGATTGGTTCAAAGTTTTCTATTTAAGGAAAACCAGCTGATTGCATCGACTCATTGACTCACCAGCAATCCCTCACACCAAGCATGCTTGAAGCGACAGTGGAGAGGAAAATTAAAGTTTAACAGGAAGAAACCTAACCAGGTAGCGATAATAACTCTGCTGAAAGGCTCATTGAAAACTCATTTTCAGCTTTCTGGCAGAAGGCACTGGATTTATGCCCCAGTTGTGTTACAGAGTAGTTGCCCTGGCCTCCAGCAAGGGTCCTCCAGTCTTTAGAAGGAAAACAGACCCACAGCATTATACTGTAGATCCAACACCATACTCTTTAGTGTGCTTGAGGTGTTTTCCCTCCATAGGAAATCTCTCTTTGATTTGACCAAAGTACACAGTTACGTTTTCACTGAAGTTTAAGAAAAAACAATTTTTATTGTAATTTTTGTTTGTTTTTTTAGGAAAACAGAAGCCTTTTCTTTTAGTGGCACTCCCAGTCCATCAGCTGGGTTGTAGATCACATGTATTTGTTGTCATGGAAACACGGTGAGCCCAAGATGTCACCCTTTGCTTCATCTCTCTTACAGTGAGCTTTGGATTGTCAGTCTTCCAGGACAGGGGTAAGTGCTTCAGGAGAAAATGAGTGAAAAAGCCTTTTGGAGGAGACGTGAAGCATCTTCATGAAACAAGAAAAGTCCATTTGTCTTCAGCTGAAGCACTTAGAGCCCCAGAGTCATTTTTTTTACTTCTCTTTAATTGTCCTATGAATAAAAAAAAAAAAAAAACTAAGAAAGATATTCAATCTAAGATTGTACGGTTTAAAATAATTAGACAGAGTCTTGAGGTAAAATGGTTCTGTCAGAAAAGATTATTAAAATTTTTGTAAAAACCCACAAAACTCAATGCTTTTAATTTTTGCTTAAAAATGTTTTGTCATTACGTTGAATCAGGAGCACCATGGCCTGCTGCAGCTTCATGCATTCAAACGTTCGCTTCCGACTTCCATTAATAACAACCTGGTCAGTTCATGTAGGGTTTAGTCTTTGCAAATGGCTAAAAAGGATATTTTCTTATTTATACAGAATTTTATGTGAACTTCTTTTACATTTACTTATTTAAATATAATTGTCATAAAAAATTTGAGAAAATGTAGAAAAAAAGTTTCTTTAAACTGTGCAATGCTGAAGACGCACTAAAGAAAACAAAAAGTTGATTTAACAGATCTCAAGAAACAAAGGATGTTAGAAACTGGAACTAGAGGGAAATGAATGGTCTTCATCATGAAGGATCAGAGGACAGTTGAAGCCCACATGTGGGCGATGTCCACGCTTGTCCTGTCAGGAGGTCACCGAACGGAGGCAGGGACACGGCAACTTGTTTTCCTGTCATGTCTGCTCCCGAAGAGGTCACTGCTAAGAGTTTGAGTGGGCTGGCGGGAGGGGGCGGGGGCATACGAGGGTCATGTAGCGGTAAGATGACATCTAAACCTGTCATGTCAAGCTCCTCACCGTGTCACCGGACAAACACAGAGACACAGGATGAGGGGGAGAGTTGACATCTCCAGCTGACATGTCCGTGTTTGAACCGAGGTCAAGAGATTGTAGTTTGGTTTTTTTCAAAGAAAGAGGGATGTGGGGTGAGGAGGACGCCTGTAAGTCATTTCAGCATTAGCAGTTAACAAGAGACATAGAAGTAAAAGCTGAAAAAACATAAATCCTTAACTGAGCAAGTTTAAGCTGAATGGCCTTGGTTGCAGAAAAAAAAGACTTTTGTTCTTTTTGAGTTCTAATATTTCAGATTCAGTCAGAATAAAAGCAAGATACTCAAGCTACAGGCCCCAGCATCCAGAGCTAATTTTGCAATTAATTAGCCTGGCTGCTGTTTGAACATCATTCAGACATGAAGAGAAGGCATTAGACAGTGGATGTGTGGAGTATTACTAGCTGTCATTATCTTTGTTTGAAAATAGTAAGGGCCAAAATGACCATGATCCAACACATTAGTAATAATAATCCAAAGAACAGCTTATAGCAGCAGAAGATTGTTTACAGAAAAGTATTTAACTAGTTTTTTAATTTGGAATTTGAAATGTGTCTTAAGTTTTGCAATTAAACAATAAAATTAAAACATTAGTTAAACCTTTAATTTATCTCATATATTATAGAAAATTACCTATATTGTTATTCATATCATTAGATGTGTTTTTTGTTCAGATCTCTGCAACAATGTGCTTCAAAACTGTATTATAGAATAAACACTAATATAAGTAGATAAACTTCTTTCACATAAGTCATTTAGTTTTAATTGTTTTTAAAAGATTGAATTAAATCTTATTTATTAAATTTCTGCTTTTACTTTTTATCTGAGAGATTTATTTAGAGATGTACCTTTTGTGCATATGAGGCTGACTTTTGTTTCTCTCCACAGCTCTTTATTTATTTTTTCTTCTTTTAAAATTAAATTGATAACTTAATGATAATCTTGTATATTTACATATTAATTAGTGTTGCACCGATACCCAATACTTGGCTTTGCAGTATCGGCTGTTACCATGCCGATACCATCGGTAAAATAATGGCCATCATGGCTTTGTCAAGCTGCTGCCTACCTTTGTGAAGCAGGAAAAAGACTAATACAAAGTGAATCCAGTAGAACCTTTTATTGCGTACCTGGAATGGGTGACAATAGTTGAATAATCTTTTGGTTCTCAAAATGTTATCGGTGCCTTATTTGTCGGTACTCGCCCATATCACCATTTTACTAGTGCTGTATCGGGGCCCTGCCCGATGCTGGTATCCGTATCAGTGCAAAACTAAAATTAATATGAATTAATATGGAATAATTTTTTTTAAAGAACCAGAATCTGTTGTTCTCAGTTCAAAGAGGAGGAGTCTGGTTCTCAGTGACTCTGAGAAGGAACCAGAGAGATTTTCTATTATTTGAAGCAGCTCAACCTAAAACAATTTAGCCTTTGTTGGTAGTTTTATCAGCTCTATACAAAATAAAAAAAAATGTACGAATACAAAGCTTTTATTTGTTAACCAGCTATCTTGAATCTAGCTAAAAGCTTTGTGTTGTTGCTGAATAGATACATGTACACCCAGTGTTTTACACCCAGCCGTCTGCACAAACTAAAGGGAGTTCAATAGAAAAGCAAGTTTTCCTCCAAACAGAACCTCAGTCTAAGATTTTTTTTTTATTACTATCTTGTAAGATAGATAATAAATATATATTTTTTAATATCGTCTTGTTCTGTCAGTCAGACAGTTGAATAAAAGCTATTTTTCAGCAGTTTCTCAGTCCAAATGATACTTTTGGTTCACAGCTTTGCATCGCCTCTCGCTGTGTAAAATTCAGTTTCGTTGCCACTTTGTCACAGTCGGAAAACCACTTATCTGCTGTTCTCCATCCCTCAGCTGAGTTACAGCTTTACCTGCATCAGAATAAAGAAAAACACACACTTGGATGGGGCTGTTGTGTATAAGGATGTGGAAATATGGAGGACAGTGGTTGCTGGTCTTCATCCCAATTCTGGTTAATTTCATCAGAGTTATGAAAAGATGGAGAAGCTGCAAAATCAGTGACACCAAACAAGCGACTGTCCACTGTCGCTATGTGCTTTATACAAGTCAATGACAATGCATTCTGCTGGGGTTCCTCAGGATGCACAGCTTTTTTAGATTGATTCAACAATGGATTGTGCATTGTGTAGACGAGCCAGTGTGTAGATGTTAAATGTGAGACATTTAGGAGGTCTCAAAAGAACCCAGAATATCATTTATCCTGCAGGCCTCACCTTTTTTAAGTTAGAGTTAAAGATTAACAGTAAGAGAGAGAGACTGGGCGTCCTTTATGGTTGGTCTGTACAAACGGCATCTATATAAGTGTCCAGAACCCCTGCTGACCCAAAACAAAACAAAGGCTCATTTTATGTAGATCTTGAAGATTTCCAACATAAACTTCAGTGTTGTTGCTTTAACCAGCTGAGACTTTTTTGTGTATAAATTGTTTAGAAAGCATCTGCTGAAGGCATAACATTACCTTTATTATATATGTTATCATAGAAAACTCTGGAAATTATAAAATGCCCCTTTTTTAATTACATGTCTCCTTTACATGGATTGTATGAATATACCGAAACAAAACATGAATGTGAAAAGTAAGTTATGATACGGAAGATCCGTTTTATCCTTCTGGTTACATTAAAATACTCAAACAGCTCACTGATCTTCTCTTCTGTTCCTCAGAGATATATTCTCCCTGGATTTGTTTCTTTTGTCGATTTGCTCTAATCTATTTTCTTTCTAAGGAAACAGATAAGTTTGAAACGGTTGCATCCCAGCTGTTCTCTATAATTCCTAGTTTCAATTTCAATTCTATATCGCCAATTCACAACACATGTCATCTCAAGGCACTTTACAGTTCACCAGATCATACAGTCAAATTGATTCAAAGTTTTCTTTCTAAGGAAAACCAGTTGATCGCATCAACTCATTGAAGTGGATGCAATCCCTCACACTAAGCATGCTTGTAGCAACAGTGGAGAGGAAAAACTCACTTTTAACTGGAAGAAACCTCCAGGAGAACCAGACTCAGTGTGAGCGGCCATCTGCCGTGGTTTCAGTCCTCTTCTCTGTAAACAGCCTTTTCCTTTCTTTCTGGTTTCCTCATCCCTCCACAGCTTGTCTCCATGTGGCTCTTTCCCTCTGTATGTCCATACATCTTGATCAACCAATCGCCTAACTTAGTCCTTTTTCCCCCGTCTCCTTTTAGAGGCCTTGGTGGCGTCCTACCCCTGGGACTGCTACGTTTTTGCCTTGGCGGTTTTTGTGACGTTGACCAATCAGATTCACAAGTGGAGCCACTCATACTTTGGTCTACCCCGCTGGGTCACCCTGCTGCAGGACTGGCACCTGGTGTTACCACGGAAACACCACCGCATCCACCATGTTTCACCTCATGAGACGTACTACTGCATCACCACAGGTATGGCCTTCAGAGCTAAAGAAGCTACAGTGACAGCAGTAGCTCTCATCAACTTGGTCCTCTCTAGATTTGGATCCGCTATTCTTCCACGTTTCCTCAGCTCATGAGGTTTGCAGACCTATTTTTTTTCCTTACAGTGACGGTCCCACCACACTTCAATCAGGGTGAGGTCCAGACTTTGACTGTGTGTGTGTTTGGAACACCTCAACTTATTTATGGCACTAAAATCTGAGTAGAATATTATGGGCAAATATTCTAGAATATGGGGTGGTCAACAAGGTTTTTGCTCCATTTTAAAACTGTTGAAATGCATTAAGCTATTTTTCAGGTCTGGAGAAGAAGATGACATATGTCTTTATCTCAGCCTTGAGATTTACACATAAAAAAAAAAATCAAGATTATCTCTTAGATGTTTTATTTATATCAATCAATCATCCATAAGTACCAATTTATACAGTTTACTTCATACTTATGAAGTTAAAATACAGCAGTTCAATACTCATTAGGAAGCTAGTTCTTTATGCCCAGTTTTTACAGATATCTAATTTCAAATTAAATATACCACGTGAGATTAACTATTAAGGAACATGTTTTATTTACATGTAAAGCTCTATTTCAGGAATCATTACTCTATTTGACCTGTTTTGATAGGTCCCATGTTTAAAACATGATGTCTCTAAAATATTTGTCATGATGAAGCAGTGATTTATGTAGGATTTATGTTAAAGACTGGCTGGAAATCAGAAGCAGATTTCCTTTATTTTTATTGTATAATAAAACAACAAGGAACGCATTGGCCCAACTCCTGTAAGGTGCTTACAATAAAAACACAGCCCTTTTGTGCTACTTACACAATAAATGTTAACACAACAGTATCTAAAATCATGAACCACTGGATGTAGACGTTGCACACAATGAAACTAAATAAAAAATACAATGAAAATAGGTAAATCTATCCTGGCTGATAGATTAGTTTGCAGCATTCAGAATTCTGTTGGTTCAGGAATTAAAATAAAAATTGAGAAATTCTAAAAAAATTTTTATAGGATTAAAAATTTAGGAGTTTATTGGATAAAAAAATTGTCTGACAAAAAATTGAAACAACCATTTTTTTTTTCTCTCTAAATGGGCTCCTTAATGTATGCCTGCAGAAAAAGCCCAAAGGATTAAACTCCACCAACCTGTTTTAAATGAGTATGACGTGTTCGGGCTGATATGCAGCATTTAGTTTCTCCAAAAATGGAGCCAAACATCTCTACTTTGGTCTCATCTCTCCAGAGAACAGATGTAACATCAAATCTCAGTTCTGCTGCCATGTTCTTTGTATTGAGAAACTTTCTCCTTGAACCAGTGAATCTGTGTTAGGTGACACCAGAGCAGCAAATTCCTGCTTATAAAGCAGGATCAGCTTTGATGGTGATCGGTTGATCAACCCGTTTCATCCCAAGCTACCGGAAGCTTCTTTCTACCCTTCAATAGGTGAAGCAGACAGGATGGACTTAGTTCCACTGTTTGCGCATCTTGGTTTATTATTTCTTGTTTATCTTTCTTTATATCTTTAGAGCATATTTTTTAAAGGCACAAAATGAAAATATTTAAAACAAAATTAAATTATCAGACGTAAACCCCTTCAAAGTCACATTAAAACATCCATTTTGGAAGGTTAAAAGAGAAGATGATGTTTCCAGAATAATTAAACTTGGATTTCTCTGCAGATTCACATAAAATGGCGACTGTGTGTCAGTTTATAAATAACTAAAAGCAAATGTTGTGTTTGTGTGTGTGTGGGTCTGTGGAGACTAGAGGCCTCTGTCACACATCCACACTCTGTATTCAGTCTGCATCTGGGTGAAAGCGGGAGGGATACTCAGGGGGCGACTCTGCTCGTACGTCACCCTGCGCCCCAGCGGACGACAGATGTGAGCCTGAGCTGTCGGGGGTGGCACGGTGAACACACTCCACTACATTCTGCAGAGTCTCGCATCTGTTAGCGTGTGCCGGTCGCTCTGACCTCTTCGGTTCCTAACCTGTGTTTGTGGAGGAAGGAGGTGGTGGTCGGGGACAGGGGAAGAGTCCACAGGGGGCTGACGACGGTCCCCTGCTCGCGCAGCCTGGGCCTAGCTCGGAGTCCTCCGGGGGCCCGCCTTGCTGCCTTTGTGTTCACCACCGGCTGACAATCCCCATGTATATTTAATGCTAACCTGCTGTCTGTTCTAACAAATAGGACTTCACAGGCAGCGGATGGGAGGGGGGAGGACAGGGGAGGACAACAGGGGAGAAAGGAGAAACATGGAAAAATGGTGGAAATAAAATACTTCTGGATGATTCCAACCAAGAGAGAGACGGATTCTGCAGCAACCAGATGTGACTTAAACACATGCTTCCTCGTTGTCTGAACATTAGTTCTGTTTTAATCTGTGGATTAATTCAAACTTTAAAGGTAAACTTTGTGTGCATAAATCAAGATTATTTTGTCTACTCTCTCAAGGCTCCTCTGCTACTACATGGGTGCCATGCATTCATTCATGGGTACATGTTAATGTATTTTGGCCTGCAGCCACACGTTCATGAATTTGCTTAACTCAAACGGATAAATTCACAGCTGCTGAAAGTCTGTAAACATCATAGGAAGTGAAAAGCTTAAGGGTGTCTCCTGGGAAACCCCTCCATCCTTCTGCACATAATGAGAATAAGGCAGGAGGCTTAAATGTACAGCAATTTAAAGTCATTGTGTAGATGTGAAATAGAAAAGGAGACCTTTCATGCTTTGGAGTTAAGGTAATGACCGCGAGAGGGAGACGAAAGTCTGCCTGGAGGTAGCATTTCTGTGGAGCCATAAATGGTATAAATTATTTAGATATATCTACAAAATACTAGATACCATGTGCCAATAACCATTACTGTAAGAATAACCTACAGAAGCATAGATCCATTTTGAAATTAGCTTAGACCCCATGCAGACCAGAGATGTCGTGAATGAGCCGAAAGAAGCTGGATCATGTAGAAAGAGCACCAAAAGAAAAAGATTGTTGATCAAAACTTACTTAAAACCAGAGGTCCAGCTACCAGGCTCCTCCCAATTTATAAGCCAGGTTTCACCAGGTACTGCTCAGATTCGACTATTTGCTAGACTCTCCTCTCCAGCACCCTGGCATAGGCCTTGTTAGGGAGAATGAGAATTGTGATTCCTCTATAGTTGGAACGCACCCTCTGCCACCCTTTCTTGTGCTGGAGAACCACCGAACCAGTTTGCCAATCCAGGGGCACTGTCTCCGACCTCCATGTGTTGTTTAAGAGGCCTGTTAGCCACAACAGCTCAACAACATCCAGAGCTGTAAGGTCCTCAGGGCAGATCTCATTCACCCCAAAGCTTTGCCACTGTTTTTTGACCACCTTGGTGACTTCAGCCTAAGTAATAAACAAATCCGGCAGAGCACCCTGTCTCTTCTTCGACCACGGAAAGCGTGTCAGCCGGACGGAGGAGAACCTCAAAGTATTCCTTTCATAGCTCCCCACTCCCAATGGAAACAGTGTTAGAGGTGTCAGACGGTTTGCCTGAGTAGTTTTGAGGAAAACTGATAGTCTTCAAAGTCCACCCAGGCCCTTGTTTTTGCCTCTGCAACCCCCCACACTGTGTCACAGTTGGCCTTATTGTACCTGCTTGCTGCCTTAGGAGTCCCACAAGCAGACCAGGCTCAATAGGTTTCCTTCACCAGCTTGACAGCATTCTTACTGCCGGGTCCACCACCGGGTTCAAGGTTTGCCACCACAATGGACGTCACAGACCTTATGGTCACAGCTAGGGGCAGATATATTGACAATGGAGACAAAGAACATGGCCCACTGAAACTCCATGTCCCCAAACTACACCGGAATCTGGAAAAAGCTCTCCCGGAGGTGGAGGTTGAACATATCCCTGAACGAGGGCTCCACCAGACATTGCCAGATGCTCACTATTTATTTTGGCCTGCCGAGCCTGTCTAGCTTCCTCCTCTTCCAGCGTATCCGTGCCCCTCTCTTCACCAGAGTGTTCAAGACCTGCGGCTCAAGGTCAAAATATATGATTGAAAAGTCAATCATGGACCTCCAGCCTAAGGTGTACTGTGCACCGATGGGAGTCCCTATGCTCGAACATACAGTAGTGTTCATTATGGATAACCTGTGACTTGCACAGATGTCCAATAATGAAACACCACTCAGGTTCAGAGTTGAGCCGAGTGGCGGTCCATTCCTTCCTATCATGCCTCTCCATGTTTCAATGTCATTTCCCACATGGGCGTTGAAGTCTCCCAGGAGAATGATGGAATCCCCGTGAGGGCCGCTATCCAACACCCTCCCATGGGACACTAAGAAGACCCAGTACTCGTACTGCTGTTCTGCCCGTAAGCCAAAATGAGACTTCCCCCTACCCAAAGGCAAAGGGTTGCAACCCTCTTTTCTGCCAGTGTAAAGTCCAAAATGAGCCAGCATAGCTGGTCCACTCAGGAGGAGAAGAGAGTCCAGCCTCACTCAAGGAGCTGGGTTCCAGAGCCCTGGCTGTGTGTGGAGGTGAGCCCAACTATTTCTATCCAGTATCGCTGCACCTTCCGCACAAGCTTAGGCTTCTTCCCCCTAGTAAGTGACATGCCCCAGAGCCAGTTTAAGCGGCCATGGATCGGATAGCAGAGGCCTTGGCCTTTTGTCTGCTGCCCAATCCTCTTCACACCATTACGGGAAACAATAT